GCTAATAGGACCCACCTGCCTTAAGCCATGCTTCTCCCTTTCCTTGTTTATCTTCTTGCAAGTATTATTTCACACACACACAAAAAAATCCTTTTGGGGACCTTTAGTATTTCTGAGGTTGATCTCGCTTAGGATCTGAGACCTCCCTGTTCTGTACTCTGTCACCGGGATGCCAGTTCCCCGAGGCCACGATGCCTGTCTGGTTCCGCATCTCTTGGAGTGGACTGCCACGTAGGAGATACTTAATCAATATTGTCGACATACCAAATCTTAGGCCATTTTTTTTCTCCGTTTAAATATGAGCTTCGGGGGCACCGGGGTGGCTTAGTCAGTTGTGTGTTCGGCTCTCGATTTGGGCTCAGGTCATGACGTCACGGTCGTGGGATCGAGCCCCATATCGGGCACCGTGCTGAGCATGGAAACTTTAGACGTGGAGAATCTCCAAAATAAATAATTAAATCTTAAAATAAGTATGAGCTTCGAAAAGGGCTTCCCTGTACGCCCCCTTGGTTTCTTTAAATGTCCCCTGTCCCATCTCTTTCGTATGATTTATGATGATAGTGTGGAGACTTCTGTTTTAGACTCTTTCAGCCTTCTTAACGCCAGATAATCATTTGTGTTATAAGCCTGTGTTCTTCTCTATTGCTGTATAACAATTTAATCACAAATATAAGCGGCTTGCAACCATACCCGTTTGTCTCACAAGGCTACAGTCAAGGTGTCGGCTGAGGCTATGGTCTCGTCCAACACTCTCTCTCCTTCCAGGCCCGCTCACTCGGATTATCAGCTGAATTCGGGTCCTCGTGGTTGTAGGGCTGAGGGCTTCCGTTCCTTGGTAGTCGGGAGCCAAAGGCTGCCCTCGGCTCTTAGAGGCCGCCTGCAGTTTCTTCTCATGCGAAGACCCACCAGGGGACCCCTGATAATCTTATTTGGCTTCCTCCTGTACACTTCCCTCACACGCATCCAGTCGCCTCTGACGCGCACTACTGGTTGGAAGCATGTCCTAAGTCCCACCGTGCTCAGGGAGAGAGGATCGCACGCCAGCACGAGCACCAGGAGGGGGGGACAGTGGAGGAGGCCGCCTTCGTTAAGCATCTGCCTGCCACGGCCTGGAAACGTTGTTTCCGGACTTGAGTAACGTACTTTCTTGGGAAGTATAGTTTCTGAACCGTAACCGCTGTTTATCTTAACTCCCTAACTTGTTACTGAAGTATTAATAGTATCGATTACATGTTAAAAATAATGTCGTTCACCCCCTTTACCTCTAGGTTCCTGTTCTCTCTTCTACGCAATTAAAAATGCTGTGGACTTAGATTTTGCATTTGTGATCTTACACAAATTAGTACATTATAAATTATGTACGTAGCGATACGTGTTACTGTCGCATACAGAAAGCTTTGTTTCCTGTGCCTCATGGATGATTTTAAGCGATTTATGGATAATCTTAATTTCACGTAATTTTTCTTCATACCCTCTGTTTTTAGCCATAACTGCCTCACATCCTGAAATGTGTCCACAGATACTATTCGTGACTATGGCACGCATGGCGAGGAGCTCTTGAGAAGTATATTTGTCTGCTATGACACTATATTAGATCTGCCTCATTACTTTTTTTAAAGTTTAATTCTTCATTTTAGAGAGAGTGAGAGCACATGTGAGCTGGGGAGAGGGGCAAAGGGAGGGAGGGAGAGAGAGAGAGAGAGAGAGAGGGAGAGAATGAATCTAAAGCAGGCCCCACCCTCAGTACAGAGCCTGATGCGGGTCTTGATCCCATGACCCTGGGATCATGACCTGAGCCAAAAATCAGGAGTCAGACGCTCAACTGACTGAGCCACCCAGGCGCCCCTACATCATTGTTCTTAATTCACTCTTACCGTAGCCTGTTTCTTAAGCTTCCACTTTCCAGGCTATATATCTAGTTTTTAAGCGATTTATTCCTCTTGTCCTGTTCATCATTTCATTTATTTTTCTTTCTACCCTCTCATCTCTGTTAATGTCTTTCTTAGGGTACGACTGGCTTGCGTGCACCTTTCCCATAGGTCTTATCTTAGAGTGCATTCCTATCTGTAGATGATGCTCTGAAGTACTGAATCTTTATATTTAGGACATGACTGAGCGGAACTTAATTGATAGCAAGTAGACAGTCGCCTTCTATCTGTCGTGTTAGCTTTCTGCTCCTGTGCACTTCTTCCCGCCCATCTTGAAAGCATTACGGCACCTTCCGCTTTATCCCCTGCCTCTGAATGCGAAAGACCACATCTTTGCTCAATGTGGAGGTTTCTCTCATTTTTAATTAATTCTTTAGAAGGCTAGCAAATACCATGTATTCTATCCTGGCACCAAAACGATATTCTTCTTTCAGATAAGTGTTTTCAACCTACCTCTTATTTTCTTATATTACATTTATTTTTCACTTACAACTAAACAGCCCTGTACGTTCCTGATGACCAGATTTAAAATAATGTTCTTCTGGAGCTTTGATAGTAACTTTGTATTTTTTTTTTTTTTCCTTTGGTTTCAATCTAAGCAATGTCCTCTGGTCCACAACCGGTTTTGGTTTTTTTTGTTAAAACCTTGACAGTCCTTTTCCTAAAACCGTATTGCTTCCTCTCAAAAAATAACCAAAAAATATGTAAGCCTATAACATCCTGCCTTTTCCATGGAAATGAGGTACATCGGCATTTGGATTCCCAACGTATGAACCTCCGCTAGCTAACGGCCCCAAAACCCCTCCGCTAGACTTCTAAGCACAGTAGTTGTTTAAAGTTCATAGTTTAGTCGCTGAAACTATTGAAAATGTATGCATTTCTTGGTCAGATATGATGTGCGGCCAGTGTCTTTTGAGAGTATAAGGAGGACACCCGTTTTTCCAATCAGATGTACAATAGTGTGGTCCACTGGGAACGGGTGGCTACTGAGCCCTTGAAACGTGGCTCGTCCACATGGAGATATGGTGTGAGTGTAAAATACATACCTGATTTCCAAGACTTCGTGAACAAATATCAAATACCTCAGTAATGTTTATATTGAGTCCACGTTGCAATCATAATATTTTAACATATTCGCTTAAACGTATTAGAAGTAATTTAACCTGTTCATTTTACTTTTTCAATATGGTAACTGCCAACTTAAATCACATACGTGGCTCACATTGTATTTCTTCCGAACCTCGTTGGTCCGGAAAATCTTACGCATTTACTTGTCTTTAGCAACTACTATCTCTGAATTTTTTGCTCCTGAAGGAAATTCGAGAGTAAATTCTGAAGTCTCTCTGAGCAAAAAAAATCCACTTAGTTTTCCTTGATGGTTCCACTAAGGACCTAAATATATAACATATCAAAGTTAGGAAGTGTATAGAAACTTTGCCAGAGGGAGACGGTGGGTTAGAGTCTTACATACCTCACCTACCTTGGTATGAGTTGAATTTTTTCCCCATCTTCAAAACCTGATTAAATTTGCACATCAATGTCAACTCTCTTCCTCAGCAATTTTTTATAGCCAAAAAGCCAGTGTATAAAGAGGACAGTAGCAGTGTTCTGCAGTTTTGCAGTAACACGTAGTGACTTACTCTCATAGAAGCTCTGAATGACAGAATGAATCAACATACTCTACGTCTCGTTTGTTTACAGCCTGGAAATTGACAGCAAGAGGGGGTGACCATTTGTAATTCACTTAACTAAACTGGAGGCAGGGACGTAGGCAACAGATAAAAACATTCTGCTTCCTGCACTTAATATCACCTGATACTTGGGTTTGGGGTAACTCTGTGGAAAAAATTTACGTTAATAGTCTGTATGAAATGAAAAGTCAGAACCAAAAAACTTTTTTTGGAATTCCTAATGGTTTGTGCTGGTCATTTTTTCGCCCCTCAAGATCTTTTTACCATAGCTTTATTGAGATATAATTTGCCTATCACACGATTCATCCTTTTAAAGTAGACAGTTTGTTGGTTTTCAGTATATTCGGTCACGCACCCATCACCACAATCCAACATTAAAACATTTTCATCACCCCAAAGAATAACCCCACCACCCCAACCCTCAGCAACCCCTAATCTACTCTTCGTCTCTGTGGGTTTGCTTATTCTGGACATTTCACATCAATGGAATCATACACTTTATGGTCTTTTGTGACCGTCTCCTCTCACTTAGCGTAATAGTTTCAAGCTTAATGTTGTAGTAGAACCTCATTCCTTCTTGTGTGAGCAAATAATATTCCATTGTATGGATATACTATATTTGTCCATTCATCAATCAGTGGAATTTGGATTATACTTTTTCAACACAGAAACAAATGATGAAGGTAATATTTACATTCGGTACTAACCTTCCCCTGCATTCTCCTATCGAGCCTCATCGTAGTTTAAGCAGGTGTTAGTATAGTCACCATGATTTTCTAGGTGACGGAGAGGAGGCTCACTAAGCCTAATTTGCCTAAGATCGCACAGCAGTTAAGAGCTCGAACTTGGACCCAAAGCCTGTTCGTCCGGCTCCAAAGCACGTGTTTTCTTCCTTGTTGCCACAGCCCCCTCTCCCTCCCCCGGCTGGCTCCGTCCCTTAGTGGTTTTGTTGAGTTATTACTTTGTAGTTTCTTGGCTAACTTTGCTATTGTTGCTTGATTTAATATACTGTTAGATACAGCAAATGGGCTTGAAAAATCCTGTTAACGTGGCCTCTCCTGATTACTCAGTGGATAAGGCGGGAATGTTTTCCGGGTGATAATATACCTCATAGTTTAGCAACAGTACATAGAACAACAGATTGTAGAGGCCCAAGGGTGTACTGGGGGGGCTCACTTCTTTTCCCTAGCTCATGAAAGACGTCGGTAATGACCTGTATGAAACCGTGTTTGCATTAATAGACCTAGTTTATGATATTTGTAAAAGCCCCAACGTCGAAGCTTTTAAATTGTATCCATCTTGTCATACATAGAGAAATGCTTAATAAAATCTTTTTATAGTGAAAATATAAATTCTCTCTCGGATTCCTTTTCTTTCGTAGGGTTCTGTAGCTATAGCTGGCGCTGTTATTCGCTGGCTAAGGGATAATCTTGGAATTATAAAGAGCTCGGAGGAAATCGGTGAGTATGTTCCAACAAAGGATTAGGATCTGAATAATGGAAATTTTTACCTTTGCTTTGTGTGAATACTTGTGATTTGAGCCATATGCGACGTTAAATGAAATGAATTCCTATTATGAGTTTGATTTATACACAAAAGACTATTTTGTGAAGATTTATAAAACAACAAATTGACATAAATAGCGATGGTTATTCACAAACTGGCAAGGTAGGGCATAAAAACTACCCAAGTGTAAAATCCGGCAGCAAAGATTGCCAGAATCTGCAAATAAAGTGGTCCATTTAAATTTATCTGATGAGAAGGAGCTTTACCTCTGAGATTAGAGTGAGCGTTAAAACCCCAGCGCCTATCATTTAAGTAGTCATGTGGCAATTTCCCATCTACGGATAATTATGTGATCTCATTACCCTCTCTTTCATCTACCTGTTTACTTCAGCCCGAAGAGGGGGGGGCAATCAGAAACACATTGTGGACTGGGGACGCCCTGGAGGCCGCTTTTTTATCTCCTGGTCAACAACCTTAAAAATAGTCGAAATGAGTTACGATTCCTTAATGAAAGCAATCCAGCTCCTTTACTTCTCGGTGCGGGCAAAGTGGTTCTCGCCCCTCCTCGCTTAGTGCCAGAATTAGGAACATTGTGCCGCGCTAGTGAATAAGAAATCAAAAGCCGTATCCTAATTTTTTATACAGCTGTGTTTATTGACTAAAACAATAGAATATATTAGAGTAATTTTTGTTTTTCTCCCCTTTTTTTTTTTTAATGTTAGAAAAACTTGCTAAAGAAGTAGGTACTTCTTACGGCTGCTATTTCGTCCCTGCGTTTTCAGGGTTGTATGCGCCTTACTGGGAGCCCAGTGCCAGAGGGTAAGAACTGCATGCGAGGTATGCTTTTGTGGGTCTTGATTTATTTACTAAAGTCACTAATGACTTAGTTCCTAGTTTCCTATCTATTTTCAAATGATTTTAAAGTGTCGAGGAAACCTCTTCTGTTTGGAGAGCATAACTTCAGAACCTTTAAATTCCGAGAGGTTACAAATCATCTGACAATAAGGCCCTGCCTGCCACATCCATGTTCATGTCAGTGTTGTGATCATTTATCTTCAAGGCATCTGCAAGCTACGCACAAGGGACATCGTCCAAATGAATTCTGATTTGGTGTTATGTTATTGTCATCTGTTCATCTGGATCCTGGACTTTTTCCTATGTGGATGCAGGATTGCGGACTATATGACTTTTCCAAGCCGCTTCGTGTTTATGTCCGTTTTTTTTTTATGTGCTTTTTTTCCCCCCTGAACATCTGTATCTACCGAGGTCAACCTTTCCATATTCAGGACATTTCAGATTGGTGACTCGTTTACTCCACTCTAATCTTACAAGTCTTTTTTTTTAATCTTACAACTCTTTGTGTGTGTTTTTAGGATCATCTGTGGACTCACTCAGTTCACCAATAAATGCCATATTGCTTTTGCTGCATTAGAAGCTGTTTGTTTCCAAACCCGGGAGGTAATAATATGGGCTTTTTTCTTGTGCTTAATGTGCTTTTGTCACTCTTAAACAAATTATATATTAATGCTGAACGTTTATTAAATAACGTAAATGTATTAAATTATCAGAGGTGCCTGGGTGGCTCATTCGGTTAAGCATCTGACTCTTGATTTCTGCCCAGGTCATGATCTCACTCTTTGGTGAGTTTGAGCCCCACGTCGGTCTCTGCACTGACCCTGAGGAGCCTGCTTGAGATTCTCTCTCTCCGCTCCTCCCCTGCTCGCAAATTTTTTCCTCTTTTTCTTAGCTGTCATTACCTTTTTTAAAATGTTTATTATTTTTGAGAGAGAGAGAGAGAGTGCGTGTAAGCAGGGGAGGGACAGAGAGAGAGAGACAGACAATCCAAAGCAGGCTCTCCAATGACAGCAGACACCCTGATGCAGTGCTTGAACGACTGAGCCACCCAGGCGCCCTGCTGCCATAACCTTTGGAATTCCTATTATCCGCCAGGTGCTGGGTGTTTGACCCTTGCGGGGGGTGGGGGGCGGATGCTGAGTGGTACATGTTAGGCAAAGGAAATGAATAGCTCAAACATAGGCATCGAGGCAGGAAACCAGGGTGCAAAATTGAGGTGTTTGGCATGGCTGGCTCTAAGGGTGAGGGCAGAGGTGTAGTGAGGGAAAAGATCGGTGTGTCTAGATCAAGGAAGGCTTGGAAGACCAAAATAAGAAATCTACATTTTCTTTATAGATACGATTTATTGTCAAGTTGGCTAACATACAGCGTATATACGGTGTGCTCTTGGTTTGGGGGTAGATTCCCCTGGTTCATCGCTTACACACAACACCCGGTGCTCATCCCAATAAATGTTCTCCTCAGTGCCCATCACCCATTTCCCCCTCCCCCCCACCCCTCCATCGTCCCTCAGTTTGTTCTCTGTTCTTAAGAGTCTCTTACGGTTTGTCTCCCTCCGTCTCTGAAACTGTTTTTTTCCCCTTCCCTTCCCCCATGGTCTTCTGTTTTGTTTCTCAAGTTCCGCCTACGAGTGGAAACATACGATATCTGTCTTTCTCTGACAGGAAATCTAAATTTTATTCTGTAGACTTTGGGAAGCTCTTGATCAGAAGACTGCCATTTTCAGAGATGTTACTACGAAGTAACAGTTTAATTATGCTCATTATGTTCCTTGCGTTGATTTCTTTAAGATTTTGGATGCCATGAACCGCGACTGTGGAATACCACTCAGCCACCTGCAGGTAGACGGAGGGATGACCAACAACAAAATCCTTATGCAGCTACAAGCAGACATTCTGTACATCCCAGTAGGTCAGTAAGCGTTGGGTCCTTTAAATGCCAAAAGTAGTATTTCTTTTGCAAGAACGGGTTTTTTAGGCGTAGGGAGCTGCGGAGATGCTGATGAAAGCTGTTGCTGTTGCCCTCTTCCCTCAGTGAAGCCCTCGATGCCCGAAACAACCGCCCTGGGAGCCGCCATGGCAGCGGGGGCTGCGGAAGGAGTTGGTGTTTGGAGCCTCGAGCCCGAGGATTTGTCAGCGGTTACGATGGAGCGGTTTGAACCCCAGATCAATGCTGAGGGTATGTGTAAAAGATGGAAATTTAGGGGTCTTGATCTTGCAGTCGTGAGTTCGAGCTCCCGCGTTGGGTGTAGAGATTACTTAAAAATCAAGTGTTTTTAAAAATGAAAATGTAATGGTATCCTGTGGAGGGGACCTTAGTGAGAGAGAGTTTGCCTTTGTGTTTGTTGTGGGTTAAGACCCTAAGTAAAATAGCAAATACCACTGTGTTAGATTGGCTATGCTGGGTATGGCTGAGAGAAAAAGCTCCTTATGGTTTTAAAATCTTGATTTATCTATTTTGACATGGGGGGGGGACACAAGGGGGGAAAGAGAATCCCAAGCAGGTTCCATGCTCAGTGCGGGACCCATCACAGGGTTCGATCTCACAAACCGAGATCATGACCTGAGCCCAAATCAAGAGTCGGACGTTCAACCGACTGAGCCACCCCAGCACCCCAGAAGTTCCTTATATTAAAAAAAACCTTCCAGAATCCCTTCTTTTGCCATTCACTTGTATTTACAATATTTTCATGCAGAAGGATAACGCAGCTAAACTATCAGTTCTAGCTTGTTAACAGCCTTTTTTAAAAGTAAGAAGGGAGATAACTGACCATCTTTTGGTGCCAGGGGCCTAGTTTTAGGACATGATTAGCTAGGCTAAGGGCCATTCTGGTAACTCTTAAGCACAGCAGGCCTAGCCCGACAAAAGTAGCAACAATGTAAATAAGTGAGCCTTAAATACCTAAATACCTGACTCACTCTTATAACAAACTAAGCTCTGACCGACACCTTTATTAAAATATAGTGGTGCATCTCTCAGGTTGAAATAAACGTGAGTATAAAGATAAGGTTTTATATATATTGTGGCAGGATCCCCTCCCTAAGGAAAGAAAGAAAACAAAAAAGCCTCAAAGCAACCTGGTTATACGCGTACATGACAACATCCCTCGCGACCTTGTAACACGAAACCATTTCATCCGACTGCACGTTTGTGTGTTACCATATATGGGAGACAAAGAAGTGAATATATAAAAAAACTACGCCACGTGGCATTCAGGGCTCAGTGCTTCGGGTACGAACCCAACTGAGCGATGCCGGCACGAGTCAAGTTGCTTCCTGGGAAGAAAAGCCTCGATGTCACGACTCTCTGTGCAAGAATCCTGCTGCACTATTGAATTTGGTTTTATAACTTTCTTTAAAAACTTAGTGTAATATAGCATCCAAGTGGCTTTTACACTACTGGGAAATAAGCTTCCAAATGTACCTGTGTTTAATTTTCTGGAAGCCTCAGCCAGCACTGCTGAATTTTATTCCTTTCCACAGATGAGAAAGTGGATTGTAACACTAGTAATTTTATAGTCAGATGGTATACCGTATAACTCAGTGTAGAAATGTGTTTCGAAATCTGATGTTCTATATGTAGGTAATTTTTAACTTTTCACATTGCGTGAAGTGTGGAGTTCAAAACATTTTTCTACTCCTGAAAAAAATCATTTTCTTAGTAAACAATCGTCAGAGTGAGCATATGGCCTCGAGATGCTAATCCCACTCTTTAGCAAGGAAGTTTTGACCAGAGAGTCTCTTGTTTTCCGAGGAGAGCCTTCTTTGCTATTTTTTTTGGCCTTGGCCCAGAGTGGGTCAGTTAGGTCAGCTGTCCTTCCCTTCACCAGCCCTACTCCTCTCCCCACAGCAAACAGCGCACGTGCGCGTGCGCGCACGCGCACACACACACACACACACACACACACACGTGCGTGATGGGCATCTCCGTATAAACAGTTCATTCTCCAGGAAACTTTTTTTTTAGAGCTGAGTACAGGCCAGAAATTGCGACATGGGGATATAGAGCTGAACAAGAGCAAGTCTTCGCCCTTCAGGAGACTCCTGGATCTTGGGAGAGGCAGACAAAGCCATGACAGTTGACTGTGGTCAGCTGACGGCCTGAAGTGTGAACTGCTGTGGGAAGACAGAGGAGGGGCATAGTGGGGCCCTGGAAAGCTTTCTAAAGCAAGTGATATTTGAGCAGCGTCGCCTAGGTGTCACAGGCTTCAGGTGCTACAGAAAGGCTGGGAGGCCTGACAGGGACGCACCGGTGGCCATTTTTGTTTAGTTCTCTTATCGTGGATTTCCTTCTTACAGAAACCCTGCCTCACAGGAATGTAATTTGAATCTTGTGAGAAATCCATACTTGTTCAGTCCTTCGGCTAGACCAGAAGTAATTCTCCTTCTAGTCTTAACATATTACAGTATACCCTGTATCCCACACCCCCCCCCCACCGTACCCCCTGAAAAAATATAAAAGACGTCAAATGGGATTTCCCTTTCTAATTCGTCACTACTTGTTTGTGAGTGGCCTGGTCCTCCCAGGTAGCCTGTGTCCCAGCCTCCCTCCACCTGTACACCATGCTGAATTTGAATTGCCCCCTCACCTTCCAAGCGTGCATCTCTCCCAGTCCCTGGCCGTCGCCAGCACCCGTAGTCTCCTGAGTCTGAGTTCTGGTAAAGCCCCCCATGCGAGGGGCTTTACTTTAATACGTGTCACAATTTGTTCAAAATGCTGAGTGAACATGAGTATGGTGTGTAGAATATCTCAGTAAACTACTTTCAGACTTATGTGTTTCCCACCTTCTATTTCTAGAAAGTGAAATTCGGTACTCTACGTGGAAGAAAGCTGTGATGAAGTCAGTGGGTTGGGTTACAACTCAGTCTTCAGAAAGTGGTAAAAATGTTTTTATTATTCTTGCCGCTTTGTCTTAGTGCGTTAAATAACTTATTTAAGTGTCTAACCGTTTACACTTTGCAAGGCTGCTACGAGGAAAATCAGTGGCTTCTGCCCAGAGTTTCTAACATTTTCAGAACACTTTAGAGATGTAGGTTATCAGGTTGATATATACATACTTAATTGTGTCCTGCCTGTTTTTTCCTTATTAAGTTTATTCCTGGGACTTCAGTGGATAACTTAGTTTTCTAAAAGTAAAATGATTTCTTTCTCCTCAATGAAAAAGAAAATCAACTAGATTCTTCTTTTTATTTCTTTTTTTCACTTAGTGTCTTCTATTATCTTTTTGGGGGGCTGTCTTCATGACCTGAACCAACCAAAACTTATGTTAATTGCTCAATCTATGTCACTACTTCCTAGGCTGATTCCAAGTTCTTAGCGAATGTACATTGGGTTAGAGAGGAGGAAATGTACCAAACTGTAAATTAGAAGTGTCATAACAGATTGGGAAATGCTCTTGGCAGAAAATACAGGACCATTTTTTTCAGTCCCTTAAGCAGGCAGGTTTTGGGCTTAAGTAAACCCTTTAGTTGTAAACAGACTTAAGCTGCTGTTACTATGCGCTTGATCATTAAACAGGCTTGAACACATCCTTAACGTGCCATAATATTTTAATTCTTTGCTAAATGCAAGATTTAGAACATCATGAATAGAATGATGTCCAGTAATATATTGAAGCACATACTTTAAGAGAGAAGAGTTTATAAATGAAATATTACCTGCCTTCTAACCCAAAAAGCGAGCGTAGATCCACTTTGAATGTATCTGGCTTTTAGGAAATGCTTCCTGAAACCATGTGTTACCACAGATCACTGATCTGTATTTTCAGTCCTGGGCGTTCCTACCTGAAGCTTTTTTTTTTTTCCTCCTAAATAAGCTTACTATCCTTTTTCTTTAAGTCTTTTGTTCTTAGACACACTTCGTTTTATAAGGTGGTGGCAAAGCTTTTCTTACTATACCTTTTGCAATTTTGAGACCCTTTGTAATTAAACCTCTCAATCATAAGTATTTTCCTAGCACAGTGCTACTTGCTGTGCAAGATATAACATACATGCACCCTGATTTCTTTTATTTTCTAGTTGTCCTTAATCAATGGCTAATGAGAAGTTGAGTCATATGATTTCTCTGACTCGTATTTTATTTTATTTCATTTTTTAATGTTTATTTTATTTTTGAGAGAGAGAGAGACAGAGACAGAGTGTGAGCAGAGGAGGGGCAGAGAGAGAGGAAGACACAGAATCCGAAGCAGGCTCCAGGCTCCGAGCTGTCAGCACAGAGTTCGACACGGGGCTCACACCCATAAACCACGAGATCATGACCTGAGCTGAAGTCAGACACTTAATTGACTGAGCCACCCAGGTGCCCCTGGATTTTTTTTTAAATAGCACAATCATCCCTGTGTCCCTCCCTGCACCACAGTGCGACACACACACACACACACACACACACACACACACACTCACTTCTTAGTAGCAGTTGAAGATAAAATTTTAATTGCAAAATTACCACAAGACCAGTTGATCCTTTCACTTTGTTTGCATACCTTACTGTCAATAAACTTCAAATGAAAGAAAAAGTTGATGAAAGAAAATTACATGATTTCTTTAGTTCTGCTGTCAGCATTGATGATAAAAGTAATTTGATTTTTTTGAGAGTTGTAGATTTTTTACGTTGTTTTTTTGTTACAATTAGACCGCAGTGCGTTTAAGCCAGTTTGTAAATGTTGTGAAGTCGATTTATGAAAATCACTCTAATGTATATAATATGTTGAGTCTCTAAGCTGTACATTAAATCAGAATAATAATATTCAGCCAATGACATGCTAATTGTATTTCTTTAAGCAGTGTAAGCCATATAACCATATATCAATAAGCTGTTATTCTGGAAAAAATAGTATGTTCTCTTAATTTCTGATGCAGTTTGCCACTTTCGAAGAAGTCATATTTCTTATTTCTAACTATATTTGAATATACCGTAAACAATTTTTAGTAGACATTTGTGTGTCTTCAAAATGTAGAAGTGATTGGAGATTTGATACTTTTTGGAGAGAGCTTATCATAAATGATGAGCTTGGCTTTGCACTCCGCATTTGCACTCCAGACACGCCAAAACAACATTTTGGAAACAGTTCACATTGGTTTAAATGTGTTTAAATGCACACAGCTATTAAATAACCAGCGTGTGTGTGTGGAGATACCGGTCAGTCACCAAAAAGGATACATTTCCATTAAATCCATGCCACCTAAATTAGTACGGACTTGTGAACGCAGGCCCTGCTCACGATCTTCTTCGCAAACTAGAACTCACTGTAACCATGTCAGGAAAGCAGTTCTCAGAACTTGGCGTAACTAAAAAAACAACAAACAAACAAACAAGAAAAACCACCTAGCATAACTGATGGCTTGCTCTAAAAGAACTAGAATATATGTTCCCTTGCCTAAAATCAGGTTAAAATGTGGCCTCCACAAATGTGGAAACAAAAAGAAACCTTGTTTTTATCTGGAAAATAACATAAGCAATGGTAAAATGAAGAAAAATGGTTTATATCCCTCCTTAATCTACCTTCTAAGGAGAGAGAAATACAAGGCAAGGGGAAAAAATCCTCTCCCAAAAAGGCAAAGAAATGACAATCCAGTGGTTGTATATCCTTAACATTTGGAGGTTAATTTTGAATAGGCTTCTTTTATAAAGGGCATTAAATATTACAGAAACATAATTTTTAAATTCAAGAAAAGCATATGTGTATAAAGAATATTCTTTAACGGAAGGGATTTTGACAGAATTCAGGTTAGGAAATATCAAAACAACCATATTCTCAGGCAATTTTTTTATTATTTTTTTAAGTTTATTTATTTGAGAGAGCATGCATGAATGTAGGGGAAGGGCAGAGGGAGGGAGAGAGAGAGACAGAGACAGAGACAGAGGGAGGGAGGGAGAATCCCAAGCAGTCTCTGTGCTGTCAGTGCAAAGCCAGACACAGCTGGATCCCATGAACCAGGAGACCATGACCTGATCCAAAATCAAGAGTCAGATGCTTAACCTACTGAGCCACCCAGGCATCCACAGGGAGTTTTTTTAATTTATTTATTTTTTATATGTATTTTTTAATTTTTTAATTTTATTCATTTATTTATTTTGAGAGACACAGAAACAGTGTGAGTAGGGGAGGGGCAGAAAGAGGGAGGGAGGGGCGCCTGGGTGGCTCAGTCGGGTTAAGCGTCCGACTTTGGCTCAGGTCACGATCTCACGGTTCCTGCGTTCGAGCCCCGAGTCGGGCTCTCTGCTGACAACTCAGAGCCTGGAGCCTGCTTCGGATTCTGTGTCTCATTCTCTCTCTGCCCCTTCCACACTCGTGTTCTATCTCTGTCTCTCAAAAATAAAGAAATGTCAAAAAATTTTTTTTAATCAAAAAAAAAGAGTGGGAGGGAGAGAGAGAATCCCAAGCAGGCTCCGCACCATCAGCACACAGCCCGGTGTGGGGCTCCAACTCACGAAACTGCAAGATCATGACTCGAACCAAAACCCAGAGCTGGACGCTTAACCGACTGAGCCCCCCAGGCGCCCCGGCAGTTTTTTTTTTTAAATGTAAAATCACAGGGCACCCAGCTGGCTCAGCCGGTGGAGCTTGTGACTCTTGATCTTGGGATCATGAGTTTGTGCCCCATGTTGGGTGTAGAGTTTTTACTATGAATAAACAGATAGATTGAGCCCCGTGTTGGGTGTAGAGTTTATTATAAAAAGCTAGATCAATACGTTGATTGATTGGCTCATACAATTTAGTGTATAATTACAGTAATATTGTCAGGTATATTTCCTTACACACAGAAAGTTCCATGTATAAAAGAAAACAAAACCACTAAGTCCTACTCCTGAAATCATTACTACACCATATGCTACCTAACTTGGATTTAAATGAAAAATAAATTAAATTAAGAGAAAAAAGAAACCAAAACGAATATTTTAGCATAAAGTAGGGTTCGAAGTTCATTTTCAGCAGAGCACTATAACTCTTTTCTGATAGCTAAAGGATCTGTAATTTGAACCTTGGGGGAATTGGATTGCACATTTAGTATCTCCGGGGGAAGAGTCAAGAAAGCCAAAATCAACAGCCTCCCAAAAAGCTCTCTCTCCATCACCTCTCTTTTGCTTTGCCAGTAGAAGGCTTATGCGGGTCTGTATGTATTATGTTCTTGGCTACTTGTGGCATGCTCTCTGTATTGTTTGGTAACTATCATAAGCCTTCGATATTGATTATATTTTTGATTTAAAGTAATAACTCTTTGCTAGCTTTTACGAATATACTATTTTTATAACTTATTTTGTTTTGCTGTCATGTGATTCTTAACACAAATATTGTAATTATGTGTCTCTCTTTTGGTTTGCTTGACTGGAATCCCCTTCTACTTGGATGACCACAGGTGACCCTAGTATCTTCTGTAGTCTACCCTTGGGCTTTTTTATAGTGAGTAGCATGGTAATGTTAATCGGAGCAAGGTACATCTCAGGTCAGTTACTCTTTAAATTAGACAATTTTATTAGCTAGCGCTAATGTATTTGTGTATAACTCAGCAGAAAATGTTCAGTGTTTTTCATTCTCCCTATGCGTAGGAACCTGGAAAATCCACGAAAGGTCTAATTAGTTAGACCACTTAATCCTTGAGGCAGTCAGAATTGAGGTCTGCGACTCTGCTTCGTTCTTTTATGTGCAGTAAACGGCAATTTCTTTGGGGGGTACTTTCTGCCGGCAGCTGCAGCAGTAAAGCCAACGTGAAAGTAGTCTTATGAATGCTTAAATGGAAGGGCTTTCCGGAGTGACAGATGACCGTTTAAGTATACTTCTGACGTTTCATTACATTGGCTTTCAAACGTCCAGAAGTTGGTCACGCTTCAAAAAGTTTGCTCTGCGAGTCTTAATATTTCAGTTCTGGTAAGAGTTTCATCCAGAGTATGTCTGAGCAGAGTCTCCGGAAAACTCTAGAACTGGGGAAACCTGATAGTGACTTTTATTTTAGTTGCAAGACTGTATTTTGTGAACTGCAGTTTTAAAAATGATTGCTAAAAGAAATTGGAGTTGAAATTAAAGCCGAATTATTTTTTGCACGTTAACTTGTGAATATTCTTAGAAATGTACAGTTGCTCAGCATGTTGTAAAATACGTTGCATAACCTGTGTTAAGTTGAATTTAATAATCCTTTTTGGAAGGGCTTAGAAGAACAATGACTTCTTCCATATGTTACCAAGAAAGTGAAATGTTTCTTAAAGTTTCATAATTAGGGAAAGACTTGAATGATTTCTCCGAATTAGATGCTGGCCTGGGTTTCACGTACAAAATGTAAAGTTAACTGATATGGAGGGAATATCCAGATTGTAGAAGTCTGACAAGCCTTAACTCCACTGGGCATCCTCAGTTTAGAATGAAAATTACTGACATCAGCAGAACACGAGGTTACCTGTTAATGATAAAAATACGGGTTACTTGCATGAGAACTTTAAACTAGATTACCTTTTTTCCATATTTTTCCTACTCAGGATACATTTGTTCAAATCTTTTGCTTTCATAAAAACAATGCCTCACACTGGTATTAGTGCTTTATACCTTACAAAGGGCTTCTGTATACTTAAGCCTTTACGGAATTAGCAGGTGTCCATTTTTCTTTCTGCTTCTTGTGAGTGTTTGGTGGAAAAGTCTACCTATTCCCTGGAACTATAATTTAGATTTATAAAGAAACTGAGATGCTATTTTAGGAAAGGCTCTATTATTGTTTCATTATCCTCAGTTTTTCTGGATGGTTTGGAAAAGGGAGAAAAACATTGCAACCGAATGTTTTCACTGATTTTTTTTGTTGTTGTTGTTTGTTTCTCCTGTTTGCCTGTTGGTACCGTGACAGGAACAAAAATGCCTGCCCTCCCTGAAAATTGAGACATATAGCCTATCTCTAAGTTAGGGGGTACGTTACTTGCGGAATTCTTAGGCTTCCAAAGAGATAAGGTTACCACCTGTAGGTTCTTTCTTGGTAACATATGCTGAGGTTTGAGAACACTGGGGATTGTTTGCCTTGGTAAACAGTTAGCAATAGTGTTAATATTTGCTGATTTTGGAATTGGCCTAGTTTATATTTGTTACCTTTTAACTCTGAAGCAGTAGTTAGAAATCATGTGGAATTGGTAGCTCCAGAAATGATTAAATAGTCTTCATTGCCTTAATTCTTGAACTGCATGTATGTTGTTATTGATATATGTGGTTTTTGTCCCCCGTTTTAGGTATCCCATAAATAATACCAACTCGTGGATTCCAAAGATGCGAGCTCTTTGCCTAATGAGAGAATCCAACAATTGTCTCTTAATGTGATGACACTATTCATAGACTCTGATTTTATTTATAAGCCACTTGCTGCATGACCCTCCAAGTAGACCTGTGGCTTGAAATAAAGAAAATGCAGCAGAAAGAATGCTATAGAAACATTTGGTGTGTTTTTTAACTTCAAGAGTTAAGATTGGACCAGCCACCTTTGGGGTGGATTGGGGATTGCCACCACGTCCTGCCCCATTCCCTCTGAGATCTAGGAAGAATTCAGACCCTTCATTGGAATCTTTCATCAAACATATTCAAACGCTGATGGTCTGGGATTTGATTCTCTGCACTACACACACTTGATTCAGAGGTGATAACTAACCAGCTACAAATGAGTGGCTTTTTGTTTGTTTCTGTTTGACAGACCCTCAAAGGCCTCTTTTCTGCACATTAAGGAGACCACAGCATCTTCACTGAATGTTTAACTGGAAACCTCTGCTAAATTCTTGAAATGGAAACTTAGTGCTCTCATAGCTTAGATATTTTTCGGAAAGGTATTGGCCAAAACTGAAACTCTTCAGACATTTTACGTGGTCTTGCTAATTCACTGAATTGCTGTCTGGATCTTACAGGGAAGGACCCTTTTTTTTCTTTCTTTTTTCATCTCTCCTTTTTATATTTCTTACTTTATATGTATAACATACATGCCTGTCTATTTTATATACTGAGAGTAGCCCATTTATAAATTAAGAGTACATTTTACACGATCTCACTAATTACACTGAATTTCTGTCTGGATCTTATAGGGAAGAACACTTTTTTTTCTTTCCATCTCCTTTTTATATTTCTTACTTTGTATGTATAACATACATGCCTTTATATTTTATATACAGAGGGTAGCCCATTTATAAATTAAGAGCACATTGTATCCACTACGGTATAATGGGACTGGTCTTAAGTGGACCACTATATGTATAAATATTTTGGGGAAAACACTGTGTACATTTTTGGGCAACAGTTATGCATATTTACCAGGAGAAACTTTTTCTTAAAGAGCCAGCATTTAAAGTTTAAGTATATGTTCTATGTCAATAAAAGAAAATGTACTTTATTATGACTTCACCCATATTTCTTCTACCTTACCTTTTTATTTCATTGTTTTGGCTGGATATGTTCCTTAAAAAGGAAAAAAGAGAAAAGCTATGGAATGCTATGGTAAACCTTGTTTTCCAACACAAGCTCTAGTCCATATAAAGTTACTTTCCTTTGACATAGTTTTAGACATATTTGGGATTCTTTTGAGGGGATATGAAAAAAGGCTAAACACGTAAGTAGAAAAAAACTTTAGGAATAAAGCCAAGGATCTCTTTCTATCCAAATATGTTATTCATTGCTGGCAAGCAATCATAATTTCTATTTGAGATCCCGGGGAGATATCTCCACTTCCTGTCCCATCACAACTGAAGTAAGGTTTGCAATTAGAAACGGCTGCCATTGAAACCAAGAACTTCTTAAAATACGTAGTGTTACATGTTATAAAAGCCAACATAATCTAGCCTCTTGATGTCAATTTTTTAAATCGTAAAAGTAATTTCTGCTTACCACCAATAAGAAAATGACTGCCTCCTAATTATTTTCCTCACCCAGTGCCGAAAATGGGCAAATATGTATATATTAGCATAGCAGGTGTTGTTTGGAATGAATGGTCGCTTGCATTTGCGGTCCTGATTGCGCCGTTGCTAAATTAGGGAGTCCACTTGGATTCCATTAATGCAGCCGCCGCTCTCGTGACAAAGTGTTATGGAAAGGTACTGTGAAATCATTACTGGGTGGTGAGGGCACTTTTACACATAATTCTGTTTCTACAAAAGTAGGTTGAGTTAATTGTACATAATTGTTAAATCGCTGTTCAAATAATTTTAAGATGACGTTAATTTTCTAGAAATGGCAATATTTATAAATGTTTGAAGGTGTGCACATTGATATTGAATGATAAATTGACTTAAAATAAATTGACCCCTCATTCTTACTTGCATCTCTCATTTATAGACTAGGACTTAGATCAGAGTTAAATCGAGAAAGATGTCTCAGGAAACCCGCAACTCCACTCTTAGCCCTTGAAAAGGCACACTCTGAAGAATGAACCAAGAGCCTACAAAGTAGTTTCTGGGATGAAGGGCACCTTAATCATCGTATGGGAAAAGACCTCCCTGTTCCACGTCAGCATCCAGAAAATACCCGGTGAGGTCAGCAGTCATCGGTAGGGTCTCACGCGGCTCACCATGCCTTTCTGCCAGCTTCATTCATTCTCTTCTCTCTACCTGGGTTGGCCGTTAGCGTCCAGTATGTCATTGTTCTCTCAGCCTGACAGCCAGTGCCCCAGTCTTCTGTTCTCTGGTTAATGAGGAGGACAAGTCATACACCTGTGCTTCTATAACGCCATCTTAGAAGTTTTAGTGTCTCTTTTGCGGTGCCCAAGCTCGGTTCTTGGGTTTCTGAGTGTTTTCTCTCGTGTGGGAATGAGGAGTGATAGCTACTTGTGACAAACCGACAAGCCAGAGGTGTCACAGCACAGAAACCAGCAGCATTGACAGTGGGGTAGGTAGTATTTAACTCACGGTGTCTACCCAATAGTAAATGGAAGTACAAAAAATGTGTTGCCGGCTCTAATGAGGTGTAATTGACACGCAGAAAACCGCACATCTCTAATGTATACAGTTGGACGGGTTTGGATGCGTGCAAACACCCCCGATACCACCACCACAATCGTGGGAATAAACATATCCACCTCCTCCAGAAGTTTCCTTGTTTCCCTCTGCTTTGTGTGTGTGTGGTAAGAATGCTTAACAGGAGATCTACCCTCTTAACAACGTATTAAGTGCACGGTACTGTGTTGTTAACTGTATAGACGTTATATAGCAGATCCCTTGAACTTACTCTTCCTGCAAAAAAAAAAAAAAATTTTTTTTTAAGTTTATCTGTTTATTTATTTATTTTGAGAGAGAGCACGAGCGGGGGAGGGAGAGAGAGGGACTCCCACGCAGGCTCCACACTATCAGCGTGGGGCCGGATGCGGGGCTTGAACTCACGAACCACAAGATAGTGACCTGAGCTGAAACCAAGAATCGGACGCTTAACCAACAGAGCCACCCAGGCGCCCCTGAGTTTACTCTTCTTGTGTAACTGTAACTTCTTACCTACTGAACAGCAGCTCCCCCTTTCTTCATCCCCTGGTAACCACCAGCTCCTTCTCTGTTACTGTGAGTTCGATGTTTTTCTTTCCTTTTTAGATTCCACATGTAAGTGAGATCACGTAGTATGTGTCTCTCTGTTTCTGGCGTTACTTCGCTTCGCACAGTGTCTTCCAGGTCCAATGATGTTGCAGATGGTAGGATTTCCTTCTTTTTTGAGGCTACATAATATTTCATTGTATGTATGTACCACATTTTTCTCTGTCCTGATGCGGGGCTCGAACTCACGGACCGTGAGATCATGACCTGAGCCGAAGTCGGTCGCTCAACCGACTGAGCCACCCGGGCTCCCCTCCCTACTGTTTTTTTTTTTTAGCGGAGGCACCATTTTACATTGCTACCACCCATGTGCA